ATGGGGAATTCTGGAAGTTGAAGTCCACACATCTTAAAGTTCTCAAGGTTGAGAAGCACTGCTCTAGGCTATCATGAAGCCACAGTCTGTGACCTGGAAGGAATTAATTCTCAGTCCTAGTTACTGGGAGGTTGGATTGTGCACTGCTCAAGACAAGCCATTCAGATGTGCCACAAGGTTACTACTGTTTTGTTCTTCTCTCAATGGGTTTCATGTCTGAACTTTGGCACTGTTTTTTGATGTCAAGATCAATGGGCTCTGGGTAAGAGTGTCCTGCAGTTTTGCACTAAAATGCAAGAAAGATCTTCCCCCTAAACGTTTTGGAGAAAAGCCATGCTCTTCTGAAATGAATGGCAACCTCTTTAATGTTGCATTACCCAAATTGTATTTATTTGGGGAATTTATATGGCTGCCCAAATACAAACCCTGGGTGGTGAACAATTCCAAAAAGTATGTAATAAAACTTTAAAACCCAGTCCCAACAAAGTTTTAAAAAATTGTAACACAATAACCAAGGCACCATCACAACCTCATAACACACCTCCTCCAATATTGGGGTCATCTAACATCCTGGCCCAGTGGTTTATTCTGCAACATTAATGTTTTTCTCCTCTGTCATAGTGAGAACAATCCTATGATTCAGATATGCATTTATGACATTTATGGTAATAAACAAAGGAATTAACCAACATTAAGGTAAAAAACTTGTCAAAAAGCCCAATGCATACAAGAAATTTAAACCGATGGAGCCAAGCAAATGAGTCAAAGTGAGACACTGAGAGAGTAACTCTTCCCTCTAAGCCAAGCCTTGTTTAGGACAAAAACTGCAATCAACTATCTTCTGCAAAGCTTTGGAGTGGGGGACAGCTGCCCTTAAAAATAAGAGAGGTCAAGAGAAGAGAAGTGGGTAGAGCCAGAACAAAAACTTAAATTCCACCAACCCTTCAACCCTAATTGATCGATAGAAGCATCCATTGGGGGTGGGCTGGTTTACCGTTGTTACTTTTAGTTTTCACTCTGTTGTAACCCACCCAGAATCCTTTAATTAGGATTCTGCAAATAAATACATAAACAAATGTGATTTTATATAACTGAAATTCATTTACACTATATGAAATTAACTAAATATAATCTGTTTGAACACTTCCTGCCTGATTAAAAATTTTCTTCTTTTGTCACCTCAGAAATAGCATTTTGGTGGCTGTGGCTACAGAGGCTGCAAGGCTAAGAGGAAGAATGACTGCAGATATACTGTACATGTGTCTAAATCTGAAGGACAGTGGGCACGGTGTCATGACTGAAGGCTTTGAGCATGACACCATACCCAACTTCTTATAGATCTGACACATCTACACACACATCTACACACCAGACCTCCGTGTTCTTAGCGTGGTATGAATTAACAATGACTGGGGTGGGGGGGTGGGGGAAAACATTTAATCTTTGGCCATAATAGCTGAGAATGCTGGAAGTGGTGGTTTCACTGGAGGTGGCCTGTATTGACTACAAGGATGAATTACCTTGAGGACACAGTTGCTGTTGACCAGCAAATTCCCAGGCTTGATGTCCCGATGGAGGACACCAGCAGAGTGCAAATATTTTAGCCCTGGAGAAATGAGGAGAGAAAAAAAATGCATGAAGGGTGTTCCCAAACTTAATTGAAGTCAACAGATGCAATAAAAACGCAGTGTGTATTTGCCCCCCCCCTCCATTATCAAGATAGCTTTTGAAATTAAGTTTTTGTATAAATTCTGTACTGCTGCCAAGTGCTGAGCCTAGAGTTTGACTCCAAATACATTTTTCTTAACATTAGACAACCAACACCATTTAAAAAGGGATGCTCCTTATCTCTTCTAAGAGAATGCCCTGCTAAATCACATGTATGCATGACTCTTAAATGCTGGAAAGAAGCTCCTTGCTTCAGAACTGTTGTTACCAATTCTGTAACAACAGTGAACTCAAATGAGTGGTCTTCTCAGATTTATTTTATGGAATTGCAGCTCTGCAAGGAACGTCAGAAAAGAAAGCAAAGGGGAGGAAAACGATTAAAATGAATGACCTGCAACAGGACATGGCTGGGAAGGGGAGCAAAGGAGCAAAAGAAAGGGGCAGGAGAAAAGGACAAAAGAAATATGGTAAAGCATGAGAGGACAAAATGGAAGACATATGGAAGAAACTTTTCAAGATGGAATTGAGACAACGGGAATACAACTTGTCTGGTCATCTCACTGAACCCCCTTGCTGGATCCCCCCAAAATACAACTGGTTTAGTCATCTCATCCACCCCCCAGAGCACTCCCCCCATCATGGCTTTCCATCCCGATTTAAAGAACTGCAGCAAGAAAGATCTCACCACTCCTCCAAGCACTTCATTTGGCCAATCACTCTACTGTCAAAGCATTTCTCCTATCACTCAACTGGCATCTTCTTTTTCTTCATGGGACTGAAGCCCCTTAGATTCAGTCTGCCCTTTGGGACAATATGGAACAGTCTTGCTCTCTTTTGTTCTTCATAGGACTTATCTTCCATACTCCTGATCAGCCTCACTCCTTGCTTCTCAGCCCCTTCAATTATTTCTAGTCTTGATTAAATTGTGGCATCCAGAACTTTATCATCAATGGAACTACAAAATCTTGTAACTTGTAACTGATGATTCTACAACTACAAGCTATGAAAAGCATCAGCCAACTCTGTGTAGACATTGCCCTACTTGTTCACATTCTTCTTCTAAATGATTACAATCCTTTTCATGTATATGGCTGCCAAGCCAGATAACTCCTCTCTTCTACATTTATATTTAATCTAAATGAAGAACTTTGCCCAAACAAAGAGAGCTCCCAATAAGGGAAATCTATGGCATTTCTGTGTCATACTTACCCCTGAGGATCTGATACAAAAAGACCTTGATATGATCAGCACTGAGTGGTTGTGGAGAAACTATGACTTTGTGAAGGTCACTTTGCATCAATTCAGTGATAACATAACTGATGGTCATTGTCAAGGAGGGTGATGGGGAATGGAGCAGAGAGTAGACGTTATCTGAATATTCAGCTCTTCCCATTGTAAGCAAAAAAGAAAAGAAAATACTTTTCCACCATTTTGTAAAACCAGCAGGCTCCAATAGAATTAGGAGGCACAAATATCGAAGGGCACGGAAGAGGTAATATAAAAGAAAACAAGAAAGTTTAGATGGACTGTTACGCAGATCAGTCATCCCTAACCTGACACTCCGTACATGGGTTGGGATGCCAATTCCCATCACATTTGGAGAACACAAGACTAAGGAAAGGCTGGCATAAACAAATAGGACTAAAGAACAGGAAAACAATACAATTAAGGTAATTGAGACAAGAAACACATTTCAGAATGGGCTAACCGTAACCACTGAGAATTTTTAAAAATCAGAATGGAAACTCTTCTCTCAGTTGCAAAGAAAATAAAAGAAGACAAAAGAGCAGATAAAGTAAGCATAAGCAATCTTTTCTGGTACTGGACACCACTGCATCATCTCAGGATGAGGCACTTCCTGCCCACAAATGCCACTCAAATTTTATGAAATTTTGACAATCTCACCACAGATTCTAATGGGCGATTGTGAGAAGATTAGAATATTTTTAATAATTAAGAAACAACAACAGAGCATAGAAATCTGATGCCCTGGCTTCTATGAGCATTGTGTTGTGTTTTTATTACTAAAAGTCATAACTTTTAGTAATAAAAAGCAAGCAAAGGAAAGAGGAGATGAAATTGGAAGGAAAAATAAATGCAAGATATGATAGCCTTATCTAGGTGCTGTAACATTTACACATGAGGAGATGAAGCAGGAACAATCAGCCCATTCTTGAGCCACCCATTCTCATCACCCTTCATATATAGAAGGCCGCTGTCACCAGCAAGGACCCTAACATCTCAATCTTCAGCATGGCCTCCACAGGCCCCAAAATGTTTTCTTGATGTCCACCAGATTCCATGTCCACCTTACTTTATTGTGTTAGATTCATGGAATTACTGTACAAAGAAGTTAAATGGGAAGCTAGAAGGCCAGAACAAAGTCCTACCACCATTTCTATTTCTAAGAAAGCCTCTGGGTCCTACCCAAGCCCCAAGAAACTCTTATAAGATAAAAATGGAGGGAGACTGCAATCTAATGCTTTATGGGAAGTGTGTTCAGTTGCCCAGAAACAAGAGAGGAACTTGGACCGATAGAGAACTTCTTGGGGGTTTTGAAGGAATGATGGAAAGCAGCTTCACCAGTTTGCCTTTGGGTAAATAAGGGACCATCTATGCTCTTCACTGTAGCCAGCTGTGAGAGTCTTAAAATAGCAAATGGGCCTATTGGTGTCCAAAGGCTGTGGATTCCTGGCCTAGCAGACTGAGCACCTGGACTTCCCAGGATTCTCAATCTCATAGAGAACCTACCTGCAGCGGCCTTCAAAACTCAAAGGTTACGACAAAACTAGAGGATCGTTTAATCATTTTCTAGCAACCAGACTTTGCATACAAATTGGGGTGGGAGGGAGGGGATTTCACACAAACTCTGATTGTTTGAAAATGGCTGAACTAGGTTGAGTGGGAGAAACTTGGCAAGGGATGGTGGCAGGAGAACCCCAAAGGAACAAGGAAACAACTGCATGAGAAGATAAGGGGGGAAAACCCAAAACAGTACTATAAATGAAGGAAAGAAAAAATATGTGGCAAGTAAAAGAGAAAAATCAAAGCAAATATAACACAAATATAGCGCAAAAAATCAAACCAGAGTTAAGAGAAGCAAGAACAATAAATACGTATTTCACTTCCTCTCCTCACAGGTAGCAAGTATAGGAAAATAAAAGCAACGAAAAGTAAAGATAGCGCCAAATGAAGCGGGGAAAACCAGTAGGGAAAACAATCATGAGAAAATAACTCAGCTACAGGTGGGACAAAGGATACATTTCCTCAAAACAGTCAATCTGTGGAGGTTGGAGGATGTCCAGTGCTGAGAGGACCTAAGAAGAAGAAGAAAACCAAAGCCAACCATTTCTGAAATGTGCCATCACAGGCAGAAGAAATGAAATACAAAACCAGCGATGGAACCCAAATACCCTGATGTTTTGGCATGTCAGGCCTAATGCGCCGCTCTCCCCCTCCTAGTAATAAAAATATGATAACAGCAACTAAAAATGTTGCTGCTTGGAAACAAGACCGAAACTTAGCTGGTAGAAGCAGCCTGCTCACTTTGTCTAATAATAGGGCCGGCCCTGCCACCCACACCGGCCAATGACTGCAAGGTACGCCCTTTCTATCTTCACGAACAACCATCCAAAGCTCCCTTCTGTCCTACACATCATAGACTGGTCCCCATCTCCCCCAATCCCCCCACTTTGTCCCAGAGGTAAACCGCCCTTCCGCCCGCCTCTTCAGGCCGGAGAGCAAGGCCCTCCACTGACCCTTGCCTAGCACTCCCTCCAGGCTTATCAGAGGCCACCTCCTCCTTCCGCTGCTTCTCACTGAACTACATCACTATAATTCTTTTTTTCTTGTTCCTTTTGGTCCCTAAAAAAGCCTATGGGAAACCCAACATTCTGGAGTCACTCTTGGGATGTGATTTTAACCAAGTAGTTTCACTGCCTTGAATAAAAAGTATCAAGCCATCCGGTTATTCCAGCAGGGAACCCTATTTTGGAGGAGAGTCACTGCATGTGTGATCAACCGTCCTTGTTGCTGCCTCTCCTCTATAATCTGCCTGGAGCCACCGTTTTATACGCCTACAATGCCCCAAGAGCTGGCTGCGTCAGGCACATTTCCACAATGCACATTCCTAAGTCTGGGGAAACTTAAATGACAGCTTCCACCAGGAGAACCCAATGTACTGGGGAAGGGCCGCCTCACCCCAGGAGCGGCTTTGCACCCTGTTCCACACTCACATTGTCGTGCTTGAAATAACAGAGCATTCTCAATTCTCTGAAGACCCGTTTGCAAGAGACCAAGTTCTGGAAAACGTTGGGCATCTTTTTGAGTGCAACTCGCGACCCATCCCGAGGATCTGTCACAGACCTGCCGAAAAACAAAAATGCCTTTCCGATTATGATTTACTTTTTGATGATTAGAAAGAGTAAGCCATGGAAAGAAAGGAATTATGGTGTAATTTTAGAGAGAGAGGGCAAAATATAAATGCATGTATAACCGCTGTTAAGATCAGAAGCTACTTCTTTATAATCTTTTTTTTTTATTATTTTCTTTCTTCTTCCGATTTCCTTTCTTACCTATTCACTATTTTTCTCTTTCTGTTCTACAATTTGCATTGATTTTATCTTGTTAAAACTCTCTTTAATAAAAATTATTTTTAAAAAACCCAATTACAATTTACTTCCTACCTTTTCCCGCCTCCCTCTACCATACCACAGCAGGAAATAACTCCTCACTCACCATACCACACCAAAAGCACCATAACCGATAGGACGATCCGGCTCCGGTTCCACCATCATCGCATTGCCAAGTGTTGTCTGCTGCTGCTGAGGGGAACCTATCTGTACCCCATTATTGCCATAATATTTCTGCCCCCCACCTAGCCCGGCAGCCAAAGGTGGCTGGATTAACCCAGTCAATGCCCCAAAAACATTGCTGCAAAGCTGAGCTTGAAGAGGATGGTTGGGGTCCTGAAAAGCCATCAGACAGATTAGGGCAGATGTACGTGATTTTGGACAGGAAATTTGGGAGAGAAGCTGAACGGCACTCTGGAATTCAAACAAACTGTGGTTTGCAAAAAGGAGTTCTGGACCAGGGGAATATTCAGTGGAAAATAACTGGCTTATTAGGGCAAATCTCACAAGCAAAATAAACGCACGCAAAATGGTGTGCTCTGGCAAAGGAGTGTTTTTATATCAGTAGCTTTTTTTTCCCCTTTAAGGTTCTATTATCTTAGAAAGAAAAGAGGTATCTTGGCTTATTTTAAATTTGAAATGCTATATTATTACAACAGGGGGTAAATTAGATTTTGGGGCAGTTTGATGTTTTAGAGACTGGATACACTCTGGCTGAAAGTGGGGTGACTGAGCAGCTGTGAAATTAGTTCTCTAATCCAGTCTCTGATGGGGGGGACATGAGGGAAGTTTTCTAAGGTGTGTTTTCACCAGCATGCACAGAAAAGTTTAGAATACTGTACTTGCATTAAATAAAAAAAGAGGGATAATGACTAAGAAAATAGACTTGAAGCCTCAACAATCTATAGACAGAGAGCAGAAACATTGTATAACATCATTCTCTTAATAAGTGGGCTTGCGGAACCACAAGACTCTTAAACAGGATTTCTGGGATTAAGTTAATTAACACAAAATTTTAACAGAGAACAGAGCACTGAAATTTTATCTCACCATATAACCAAGATATGGAGGAAGTACTGCTGAAAATCCTGGGCTGTACTGAAATATCAAGAGGTCTAAAAAAAATTGGGGAATCCTATCCACACATGTTGGAAATACAAGCTACAATTAGAGGCCGCAACGCAAGGGAGGCACTCTAGAATCAGAGACGTGGAAGTAAGTTTGGGAAAGCACTTCACCGTATTGGAGAATGAGGTCTATTGCCTTTCTAGTGAGGTGTGAAAATCCAGGGGTGCTCCCCACAAATTATTAGAAATTATGTGGTTCTGTGACCTGAAACCCCAAAAGCTGTGAAAATAGCCACTTCCAAAGGGGTGGAAAACTTCAAATGAGGATGTGGTGGTAACTCCAAGAGAGCTGTGATCAGAACCACACCACTTTAACTCGCGGGTGCACTTTGGGAAGTTTCTCAACAGTCAAAAGGGGGATTTTCCCCCCTTTTATCGACAGAGCCAAAAGGTGGGAGTGGGGGGAGAGAGAAAGCAGCTATCTTGGCAATCAGCCCTGCTAGGATTTAGGAAGGTGTGATCAAATCTGGAGGTATCAAAGAACAGCCCCCCCCCCCACACGCACACCCACAGCAAGAGGGGCAACAGAGCAGAGGAAGGATGACTTGATAGCTGCAGAGGTGAAGTTCAGATGCAGAGTTTGCGGGGGGGGGGGGATAAACAGGGTGGAAAGGGAGGCCAAAAGGTGCTGTTCGACAG